GCTCTCGATTTAGCGTTAAACAGCGTCTACACTCATAGTCGAGACAGTTTGGTGTCGAAGATATATGTGCCTATGCAGCCGGAAACGCTCGGCAGAGAAACTTGGCGCGTCATACGAAACGAGATCAAGGTATTGTATATAATCAAACTATAAAACGCGCATATCCAACAATTTAATATTCCGTTATGAAAAACAAGTCGATGGTTGCACATTTTTAGGTTTTCCCGGAACCGCCTAAACCAGATAGACCGATGCACGTGAGCGGTCATTCGGACGAGGAACTTAAATCGATCGTTCGGGCACCTTTATCGGCGGATAAATCGAGGTGTCATAGTGGGCCAACTTTACCGCGGAAAATTCATCCGAGCAGTGTGAAATTAAATATCGAAGGTCCTCATATGGACCAATCGAATCCCGGATACAGTCGCAAAATTGACGGAACTTTTTACAGTATTTAAACACGGATTTAGATAGTGTTTGAGCGGCACGCTTGGAGAACGTTCGGATTAAGCTGAAACCTGATATTCGCCGAATAAAGTCCCCGCTTTTACAAATACCATTATCGCTATTGGCATAATCTGCCGAGATTTGCGCTTTGGAACGCTTCGAGAAGTAGCAAATCGTCAACGTAACATAGACGCGCAAAACTCCAATGTATCATGAAAACGTCAAGCGTGCATAATTAAATCGCGTCGATTGTTGCAATTACTTCGTGGCGTATCTGATTGTGAGTGTCGCGATTATCCTATTCACGTTTATCTGATCGTGTTGACAAATTTACTCAGTGGGATGATGCTTCACGAATCCGCCTTGGCTATCGCTACCAAAGATCTCCCGGCTGCCAGTCGCCCCTTTGACAGTCCGAGGCTGCGCAGGCAGCCCAAAGATCGACAGAACGAGTAGATAGAGGCGTGAGTCAGTGCGCACCAAGTTTCTCACTACTCGGCTCGCCTCGGTTCGGCAGTGAGCCGAAGGGACAGAATGTCCCATTACTCGGGTAATCCTTGTTTGTAATAAACCAGCGCCCCGCTGCCAGCGGGATGACAGCGGAGCCACCCTTGCCGAGAGCCCGCGCGGAGGAGGAGCCATCTCCGCACGCATATGCTCCTCATGGAATATCATTTATGCTTCTCACCCCGCGCGCAGACGTCTATCTCTTGCGACCCGTTTGACCCGGCTCGACCCCCCGACATCCCTCTCTCCGTCAGACACACAGAGTAGGCAGCACACGTTATCCTTATACATACGTCTAATCCGGCCATGATTGCCCCGCCAACCGGCTCGAAAACTCTACCTCGACTATAAGACGTAACATGTTACCCTTCCTCTCTCTGTATGTGACCCTATTTTCTTAGCTTCTTTAAAACACTTTGTGACAAACTTCGCGACGTGATAAATTTTTGCACCCGTTTCGCTTCCCTCCATTATTTTTGGTATTAAAAATTAGAGTTATTGTATTATCGTAGATTTACAATAATACAATTTACTACGATTCAATAAATCCAATTTTATTAATCCCTGTTAATATCGTATATTACAATATTAATTCGGATTAATTATAATTAATGTGTAAAATCACGAGAATATGTTGGTGACTTTTTTTCAATTAATCGTAAATTCGGCAGCCCCAAAGATAGTAATTTTTCTGCGGATTACATCGCGCGGCGCGTGTCTATTGACGCGGATCCCTTTTCTTTCCGGGTATAGTGACGGAGAAAGAGAGAGACACGGAGGATGGTATAAGGGTAGAACGATCTCAGACGGTCGTCAGGCAACGAGCGAGGTTACCAGCCAATTACTTGGCTGAGCGGTTTTATTTGTATTTAATTCTTATTTAATTTACTTTTTACGGTCGCGTGGTTTTGCCGCCTCCGTTAAGAAAATGGAAGGTTTCTTCGTCATTGCAAATTAACGGTCGCTCGCCATTTATCCCGTGGAACACAATCAATATAGATAAAAAACATCAGTTGCGCGTTATTCGTAACATTCGACAACGAAATTTGCACTTGATAAAAGTTACACATCGTACGAGAAGGCATAAATGCTTATTCCATAATGAAACTGATAAAGAATCAGATAATATATACGATACATATTAAAAAAAAAAAAAATGCGCGGCCACCAATTTTATATACATATATTTTAGAAATTTTAAATATTTAAGAATTAATTTTAATCAGTAGAGCATCTTGAAAAACATTTTATATAGATAATGACACATAAACAATGATACGGTAATGCTGCTGTCATGAAAACCATGCTTAGACTGACTTCGCTCTATCTATTCGATTCTTTCACGCGTACACTTTTCCAGAAGGAAATTCTGCGTGAAAGTCGAAGCAAAGTCGCATTGATCCCTCCGGGATGAAGCTGTTATTCCACTGAACTTGTTACGTTATATTTATCAGCGCGGTGCACACTGGCACCACCCGTCGGGTTTTATCGTTCCTTTCGGATCCGTTCTTCCACCGTCATTTCAGTTAAATAGAAGCCGCAAATGACATAGCGAATAATAAGCAGCGGTACACTAAATTAATCAGATGTCATATGTTATATAACTTTCTATTTTAAAATTTGTATTGCTTCTCAAACTCTACTAAATGATATACATATATTCTTTAGATATTATATATTATATGAAATAATTACATTAGAATATACGTAACAATTTTGAAAGCACATATAAAATGATAATCGATAAAGAGAAAAATTTTTTAATTGTATCGCAAACTTATTGTATAATACTTTTCATTTTGTAAACTGAGTTTTCTTCTTTTTTTTGTAATATATTTAACTCTTAACACATTTATTTTTTATATAAATTTATGTTAATTTATACATTTATATCGAACTTCTTTATCTTCATACTTTAACTGTATTCCAAGTAAACTTAAAATAAAATCTTCTATCATGAAAACCTAATTGATATTCAAATAAATGGAACACTCCTAAAAAAATTACCCACTGGTCTCGATTTATTTTTTGTTTCTCAACCCACATTCGACAGAGAGGCCACTCTCCCTCCAACGAGTTAGACCTATCACAGGGTGGTAGCTTAGGAAGCTTATTTTTTAATTTTTTCGCAATATGGTTGCACGCGCCGGCGTGGTGTTTACTCAATGTTTTAAAGTTATTTTAAAACAACTCGTCCCACGGGAAAGGGGTATTCCATTTGGCACGAGTGTCAGGGGTTGACATTGTGATCTCAAATGTAGTGGGAACGAACGTTTGCCGTGTTATCATTTCTCGTGCACGAACTTTAAAGGGCACCACTGCCGAATGAGAGAATTGGCTAAAAATATATTTCAGGAATGCGCGAACGTTTTCACGATTTACAAAACACAACATTTATCACAAACTTGGAAAAATCACATCTTACGAAATCTCAAATTTGTACTAAGTATCTCCATATTAGTCGCAAATATCACAAAGGTATAAATAAAAATAGTTTAAAATTTCTTATGGAATTTAATTTTTTATATAAAAATAAAATAAAAATTGATCGGTATGCGTTCTTTTTGATAATCGTCGGACAAACGGATCGCGCTTCCTCTAATCTCGAAATAAAAAAAGAGCGAAATAAATTTTAGTACCGCGTGCAGCTTCCACTTTTTCTTGATCTTCCGCGAGCGGTCAGACAGTGGGAGGGAAGGGGAGGCGAAAAAAACAAGAGAAGAAAGAGAAGAGAAAGGCGGATTAAAACGCGGGGCGAGAAAAGGCGTCTAAACGACGGTGGAAGGTCAAGCCCGAGATTACGACAGCCCCGTGCGACGTTTGCTCGTTAATTAGGGAGTTCTAATTATAGTAAATGCATGAGCCCGGACGCAGTAGTGGCGCGGAGAGATCGTGCCACGGCGGAAGCTCCAGGGATCAAAATGCAACCCTCCGCGAACGAGCCAAGATTACCTTCGAGGGCCCTCGGGCTCGGGCGCTTCCCTCGCTAAGGCTCGACCCACAACCTGCGCGACAACGACCGTTCTCCGTCTCCCTTCCGCCTTTCCTCAATCTATTCACCGTTCCCTCTTCTTCCCGCTCCTCTCCCGTCTCCTCAACGATACTCTCAGATATCACCTAAAATAACAACGTTCTACGAGCGCGCCCGAGCAGATAGATTTTACTGCTGGTGGTGTATAACAAATGGATTAGTATTTCGGTAGACGCCTAATCCCCTCTCGTTGTGGCCCCGGAGATTATTTCGATTATCCGGACCTGATTTTAGTTAATTAACGCTCTCTGCCCCCGCTCCCTTCAAAGTTCATATAGTTTGAGAAATAATCTGCTTTGGATTTATCTTTGATCGTCATATTGATATTGTAAGTACTGTTAATTATACTGTTAATTTATAATTATTCAGCAAAATAAATTCTCCTTTCTGTACATATATAACAAATAAATAATTTATATTAAAATTAATTTTTATATACAACTAAGTCTTTATTGGACATTCACATTTTACGAAAACTCAAAAGTTATCCTCAACAAATATAGGAAAAATACTAAAAAGTAAGATATAATTTCAATACCATTTATAAGATAAAATAATATCTTTTAACGAAGCTCCAGATTAATCCCGCCTAATAAAGCTGCCATTTGGCGCGAGTGCAAGAACAACGAAGAGAATGTAACGCACACGAACGGGAAATTGTATCGTTATGAGAGGCGTTGGATTATTTGTGCAGAATTTCGAGATTGTCTGTCGTAGATCGGTCGCGCCCACTTACAGCCGCGAGTAAGGCAAATATCGGTGTAGAATCCGCGCGAGTGAGAAACGTGACGGAACAACGGCATACAATGAGGGTGTACGTGTACGCCGATACGACCCCCGGTATCACGTGGGAACGCGAACACGCGTCCTCGTCGCCCCTCCGTGCGTGCCCCGACGCGACACAACTCCGAGGGTTGTTTCTGCCATCTCGACTCCCTCGTATATTCGCGACACATCTCAACCATGCAAATTATTAGAGAGAGGAAACGGCTGTGGATACGATTGATTGCAACAATAATGCGCGAAAATTTTATACTCGTGAAAATCAATGCCAGATCTGCACAAATATTCTAAACGGCATACAATGTTAAATATTAAAAATGTAGGAGTTTTTAAAATATGTCATTTTACAATTAATATTATTTCATATAATTTATAAGTCTTTCTATTATTTAAATATTTTGAAACGTGACGGAACAACGGCATACAATGAGGGTGTACGTGTACGCCGATACGACCCCCGGTATCACGTGGGAACGCGAACACGCGTCCTCGTCGCCCCTCCGTGCGTGCCCCGACGCGACACAACTCCGAGGGTTGTTTCTGCCATCTCGACTCCCTCGTATATTCGCGACACATCTCAACCATGCAAATTATTAGAGAGAGGAAACGGCTGTGGATACGATTGATTGCAACAATAATGCGCGAAAATTTTATACTCGTGAAAATCAATGCCAGATCTGCACAAATATTCTAAACGGCATACAATGTTAAATATTAAAAATGTAGGAGTTTTTAAAATATGTCATTTTACAATTAATATTATTTCATATAATTTATAAGTCTTTCTATTATTTAAATATTTTAGGCCTAAATATTTTATGAAATCTATATATCTTTTCGAGATATAGGGTAGATATCCATATCTCGCGTAAATAAAATCGCGGGATATTTCGTTTCCAACCGCCGCGCGGTGAGAAACGCGTTTCGACGGAGATTGCCGCCATCCCCTGCGTGTTTTCACCCCTGAAGTTTTTCCCTA